TTGGCCCCTATACATTTGCCTGTTTCATATAAGTAGAATCATACAGTATTTGTCCTTTTGTGACTTATTTCACAGGATTCATCCATGTTAGAGTATATATCAGGACTTCATTTCTCTTTATGGTTGAGTAATATTTCATTGTGTGTTTGTACCACATTTTGTTTATTCATTCATCTGTTGATGGACATTTAGGTTGCTTCCACCTTTTGGCTGTTGTGAACAGTGCTGCAATGAACGCTGGGATATATAGAGATATAAATGTAGATATATGGCTTTTTTCTTTTATTTTGATATCCAGTATTGTTCCCTGAACAATAACTTTTTATAAACGTAGAAGAAAAAATTTTTTTTTAATCTCCCCAGAACCTCTGAGACAGGGCTACTAGACTGGCAGATGGTTGAGACAAAATGGGATGAAGAGATGACCTTTTCTTTTAACTTGAAGCTTTGAACTGGAAGAAATCCCTGGCTGAGGTCTTCATTGCTTTCCTCCCATGCTTCTTTCTGCCTTCCCTGTTTTACCAACATACTTACATTAGCATAAGAACCAGAGAAAGCATGGCCAGCTTTCTTGGAGCTAGTGAGATCATATGAGCCCATTTGAAAGTGGAGGAAACCAAGGCTCAGAGGTGACCACAGAACCTTGGGCATTACAAGGGATTTTTGAAGGCATCTGTCTTAGTCATCTAATGCTTCTATAACAGAAATACCACAAGTGGATGGCTTTAACAAAGAGAAATTTATTCTCTCACAGTCTAGTAGCCTGCAAGTCCAAATTCAGAGCATCAGCTCCAGGGGAAGGCTTTCTCTGTTGGCTCTGGAGGAAGGTCCATGTCATCAATCTTCCCTTGGCCTAGGAGCTTCTCCGTGTGGGAACCTCAGGTCCAAAGGACACGCTCTGCTCCCAGTGCTGCTTTCATGGCGGTATGAGGTCCACCTGTCTGTCTGCTTGCTTCTCTCTTTTGTATCTCAGAAGAGATTGGCTTAAGACACTATCTAATCTTACAGATCTCATCAATATAACTGCCACTAATCCATCTCATTAACATCATAGTGATAGGATTTATAACACATAGGGAAATCACAGATGACAAAATGGTAGACAATCATACAATACTAGGAATCAGGACCTAGCCAAGTTGACATATTTTTGGAGGACACAGTTCAATCCATGACAGCATCTAATCCGACCCTTTCTCCCTATCACTTGACAATAAGGAGAGGTTGAAGTCATGGCCTGTGAAGCAGTGGTAGCTCCGTGGTAGAGTTCTCACCTTCCATGTGGGAGATCTGAGTTCAATTCCCAGCTAGTGCACTTCATGGATAGCTGCTACCTGTCTGTCAGTGGAGGCTTGTGTGTTGCTGTGATGCTGAACAGGTTTCAGCAGAGCTCTCAGACTAAGATGGACTAGGAAGAAAGGCCTGACCATCTGCTTCCGAAAATCAGCCAGTGAAAACCCTGTGGATCACAATGGTCCAATCCCCTTGAGCATGGGGCTGCCATGAGTTGGGGCTGACTTCATGGCAGCTAACAACAACAACAAAGTCATGGCCCACGTTACACACTTGTGAGTGATGGAGCCAGAACTTGAGCCTCCTCGTCAAACGCCTGTGTGCTTCCGAAGCTACCTCTATACCTGCTTGAGATCATCTTGCCTGTGTGGGGACAAACAGCCCAAGAATGGTGTCCTGGTTCTTGTTGGGGCTGCAGGGGTCCAGGTAACTGCTTCACCTTTGGTAATTCCTTGTTGGCCCTGCTGAAGATTCAGTGGGCAGTAACATTCAAGGTGGTCCTTCATCTTTACCTTTTGGGGCTGGGAGTAGCTCTAGCAGGGGGTCCTGACCTGCACACACCCCAGACAGTGAGTTATTCCCAGCAGCCTTTGGCTTTGGGGACCTCTCCACGAACCTTAATCTAGTCCAAGGTTCTGACTCTGAAAATGGAGAGGGCAAGATTGTGCCCCGTGAGATCCTGACTTCATCTTAGAACCTGGAAAACCTTCCAGTGGTTTTTCTTATCCTGCTTCTAATATTCCCAAACTCCTATGAGACCAAGATAAAACACTGAGTAATTTACAAGGTGTAACTCCTAGCTAAGGTCATTCATTGGCTGCTTCTTGTACTTGAGAGTCCAGGGATGACATCATCCTTGAATCTCCCATCCGCCTTTCCAGGATGTGGTTGGTATTTATATTCTTCTTCTTTTCCGTAAAAAAAATATTGAAGCACAGTTTGTGATACTCGCCTTCAAGAACAAGCTTGATAGAAGGTTTTAATTGCAGATAAATTTTAAAAAACCGGTTGCCATCCAGTTGATTCTGACTCATGGCAGCCCTGTGTGTGTCAGAGTAGATCTGTGCTCCATAGGGTTTTCAGTGGCTGAGTTTTTGGAAATAGATCGCCAAGGCTTTCTTCTGAGGCACCTCCGGACAGACTTGAATCTCCAGCCTTCCAGTTAGCTGCGGAGCATGTTAATTGTACCACCCAGGGACTCTGCCATTGCTAAATACAGTACCTATTCGTGGTTCATTTCGCCTTTGATTGCTCTCCATATGGAGACTCCCTCATCTGGTCCATAAGAACCCATACCTGATCAAGGGCTAACAAACAGCAAGTACATTTCTCTCTATCCCTTCTGCATTCATTTGAGGTGAAGAGGATTAAAGGCACAGTTAATTGTTAGTAATATAAACCCTAAGATCAGAGCACATGGGGTTCTTTTGCTACTCAACAGAGTGCCTTTGTGCCTGGTCTGTTAGCAGACACACTCCTTTATTTCTACATACAGAGCTTTCTTTGGCACTCGTTGCTGTTGAGTCGATTCCAACTCACGGCGACCCCATAGGACAGAGTAGAACTGCCCCGCAGAGTTTCCAAGGAGCGGCTGGTGGGTTCAAACTGCCGACCTTTTGGTTAGTGGCCGAGCTTTTAACCATTTCACCACCGGGCTCCTTCTTTGACATACAAGCCCAAAAATCTACTCGAAGCCACCTGGACAGTCTGAGACGGACTGTTTGTTTTGGGAGGCTTTAGAGTATCCTTACAGCAGCATATAGGTATGTGCCATTTAGCACAGCTGAACTGGGCAGTTTATAAAGTAGGAAGTGAGTGCAACATGTTTGTTTTAATTCACTTAGAACATTTTAATCCTTTGTGTTCTTGCCTGTTCAGGAGTCTCGGCACTAGTTTTCAAAATGGGAACCCGTTAGGGTTGATAGTCGAGTTTCTTCTGTCTTAGCTCCAGTTTGGGGAATAGATTCGTTTATGTGTGTTTGTTTGTTGTGGTCCTTGTTCCAGAAATGATTTTAAAAGGCTTACCAGGAATGTGTCTGGTAGTGTATGCACAGAACAGGGAGATCAAGGCAAAGGTAGAAAAAGATTAGGAAAATAAAATCAAGCTAATGATCAGGTTACTGCACACAGCGCATCCTGTGAGTTTCAGCTCTTTGGTCTATTAGTGCGTGTGGGAAGGATGCCTGAATTTAAATGAAAACTCTAGTATTGATTATAACGAGAAGGAGCCCTGGTGACACAATGGTTAAATGCTCAGCTGCTAACGGAAGGGTTGGTGGTTTGAACCCACCTAGTGGCTCCGCGGGAGAAAGACCTGGTGATCTGCTCCTGGAAAGATTGCAGCCTGGGAAACCCTATGGGGCAGTTCAGCTCTGTCACATGGGGTCACTATGAGTCAAATTCACATCTCTTTTCATTGCTTAGGGTTCTTAGCTGTTCCCAAACAACTCAGCACGTTCTCATACAAATTATTTGAGTTTGTGGATTAGCATAAATATAGGGTGACTATGAGTTGGAATCGACTCAAGGGTGAGTTTAGGTTTTTTTATTTGTTTTGTTTTGGATTAGCATATCTGGTGATACCCTCCTTGAATCGTCTGGACTTTTGTTCATTTTACATCTGATTAGCATGTTGTCCACCAGGGGTTGATAATGGAAAATAAATGTGAAAGTCAACCTAGCCCTTTTTATTTCTTGGTTTTAAAAAAAAGAGCTGTGGGTTTGGCAGAGGGGGGCAGTTAGACATTACTAAAACTATTTGGAAGAGGCTGAAAGATGAAATACTAAAAAATGTGTGGTTTTTCATTATCAATGCCATGATTACCACAGGTAATAGAGAATTGGCCCTAAATTGTGTTTTCCACGCAAGTGAAGCATTTCATACAGGCATCTTGTTAAGGCAGACTTTCGGGAAATGTGTCAGATTTCTTAATATTGACCATTTCCCTGCAGTCTCATAATTGTAAGCCTCAGTATACAAGGTACTCAGGATCGGAAGCTTTGTCCAAAGCCTCTTGAATCAAGCAGACTAGAACACATCATTCTCTAGGATTAACTGAAAAGAATGCAAAGCGTTCGAGAACATAATTGTGCAACAATAAGGTAAATGTACCAAACCAATGGAATCTTATGTTGCTATTAAAATTGTACAAGTTAACAGGGAAGCATATTTATGCTAAAAATACATTAGAAAACTTTGTCATAAAAATTTATGATAAAAAGTATGACAAAAATGAGAGAAGATACCAACTGATATGTAAACTATAAAATATGTCAAAGATCTCTGCAGGTAGGACAAAGAATAAAGGTGGTGTGTGAAACAAAATAGATACATTGGGTTGAGTGAAGGGATGACTGTTTTTTTCCGGTCTCAGAAAAACTCTTCGATGTGTTGTCATCTTCTCGAATTCTGTGATGTGCTGTCATTATGATAAATGGAATTGAAGAGAAAGAAAAGCAATGAAAACAAAAGCTTTTATGCACAGAATATTTTCTGCAGATGTTTTTGGATGATGTGTACTTTCCACTCATTACCTTTTAAGGTGTGATTTTTTTTTTAAGTCTAAAATTCATAGACTCTTGGAGATCATCTCAAGTGCCTTTCTTGTCATTAAAACTTGTCATTTTTTGTGTTTTTCCATAGAAATGTGTACTGGAGAACTCAACCACGTTCCTCTTTTCTTTTTCCCAATCTCTGTTTGTTTTAGGGATTGTCACGGGAGTCTTAGTTCGAGAATACAGCCAACTCTCTAGTCTGGATAAATTCTACTTTGCTTTTCCTGGAGAAATTCTCATGAGGATGCTGAAGCTCATCATTTTGCCATTAATTATATCCAGCATGATTACAGGTAACTGGAGAAAACTGATGTTCTCTAAGATTATTTAAGGTGACTTCACATACATTGTACTTTTCTAATTATGGCAAAAATTAAATGCATTAAATGTGTGTCTCTCTCCCCCTCCTCTTCCCTCCCTTGCCCCTCCCTACCTCCCTCTCTTTCTTTCTCTCTCTCTCCTCATCCCCCTCCCTCCCGCTCCATCTCTCTGTCTCTGTCTCCCTCACACACACACATACACACGCATACACACGTGCACGCACACGTACTTTTCACTTGAAAAGTGTCTGTTTGCTTGGGTAGAAATATTTCATTACTCACAAAGTGGCATTGCTTTGTGGCATGGCTGTGCCCTTAGCCCTGTCCACCACAGCTCAAGTGTTCATTTGACCAATCACATGGTATCTTGTGAGGAAGATGTTATTTTCAAACATATTATAAATAAAATTCTATCCGGGACACAGAAGGCAAAAAGGGGGCATATTTGGTCACTGAAATGTCAGCCAGTATCCTTAGGCAAATGTGGGTGTCAGTTTTGATCATATTTTCAGTATTATCTGTCTTTTGTGTCCCAGCCGTGGCTGTCCTGTGCCCAAACATTGCAGCAGCACCTCAGGGCCCTGTCACTTCCATGCCTCCACAGAACTCAGACCTTGCTACCTACTGGTCCTGGAAATTCACCACAGGGACCAGCAGACAAGTACTGTGGGAAAGATTTGATTACAGGTTTGGACCATATTAAAAAAGCCCGGCATTTTTAAATCGGAACTTGTGACACCGTTGATTTGGAAATGATTTTTCCCTTATTGATCATTATATTGCAGGGTTCCTTTAAAGAGCAAGCTCCCTTGTGTAGCTAGATATTCCTTTGGTTTGCAAAAATGTCATCTGTCTGGGTATGGTAAACTTCACGTAGAACCTGTGCATGCTGTAGTCTCTTGTACTTATCTTAATCCTGGAAATAGGTAAAATGTGGCCTGATAGTCGTTAGTGTTGTCAGCTTGAAAATCAAGGTTTTATATAACCATGCAGTTACCAAAAGTAAAAACCAAACCCATTGCCATCAAGTGGATTCTGACTCATAGTGACCCTATAGGACAGACCCGAACAGCCCATAGGGTTTCTAAGGCTCACTTACTTTGGGCATGTTATCAGGAAGGATCAGTCCCTGGAGAGGGACATCATGCTTGGCAAAGTAGAGGGTCAGTGAAAAAGAGGAAGACCCTTGATGAGATGGATTGACACAGTGGCTGCAACAGTGGGCTCAAACATAGCAACGATTGTGAGGATGGCGCAGGACTGGGCAACTTTTCATTCTGTTATACATGGGGTTGCCATGAGTCCCAACAACTCAACAGCACCTAACAATAACAACAACAGCAATCTTTACGGAAGCAGACTGCCACATCTTTCTCCCGAAGAGCGGCTGGTGGGTTCAAATTGCCGACCTTTGGGTTAGCAGCTGAGCACTTTAACTACTGCACCATCAGGGCTCCATTACAATATCCCCTTCTAGAACATTTTTCTCCACTGCCACTGAAGAGACTTGAGGCTGATCTGTGGAGTACTGGACATTGGCTGAGGGGAAGGGAGAAGGGGTGTCAAACTCTGCTACATTCAATAACTGCATTGCTTGAAGAGGTGTAGCATTTGGCCATTGAACTTCCCAAATGCCAAACTCAGACTAGAACACCTTATGGAGCCTTGCTCATAAGTGGTCTTGGTGTTCTTGGCTTATTAGAAACCTAAAGAGAACATTTAATTATTTTTATTTATGTATTTAATGATGCTTTGAAATTCCTGGCTTCTTCTAGGCTTAGCTGTTTGAAGGCCAAATTATCAGACCAATTGTTTGTCCCACATAATGTTTATTTAAGGAGCCCTAGTGGACCAGTGGTTAGGCACTTAGCTGCTAACTGAAGGGTTGGCAGTTTGAACCCCCCAGTGACTCTGCGGGAGAAAAGACCTGGCAATCTGCCCCCATAAAGATTACAGCTTAAGAAACCCTTTGAGGCCGTTCTACTCTCCTATGGGTTGCTATGAGTCTGAATCAATTCGATGGCACACAACAACAAGAACGGGTGTTTATTTATTTGTTTAACTTCAAATTATTGTATTTTAAAATTGGAAGATTTTACATAAAGTCCAGATTTCTGGCTTCCTCTGGGAAAAAATTAAGATCTGGAAGCATTGGGTCCACATTCCCACGTGGCAACAATGGCCTGGAGCTCAGAGACACCTACTCCTTTAGTTGGAGCAAATGCATTTGAGGATGCCACAGTCTCCACCACTCCCTATTGCCTAACACCTAGTCCACTTTACTGATTTATGTTACCTTCCTGGCCCCTGTAGGTATGGCACTTACAATTCCCTAGAATTTTCTCCATATCAGAGACTCTGAATTTTTCCTTAGGCTACTTTAAGCAGTTAATGAAAGGTTTGTACTCTCTCCCAAGGAAAACATTCACACTTGTACATATATATGGTATTTTAGACATAATTGCACAAGACTCATAAACCCCCTGATAAATAACACTATCTGATTCTCATATCTGAAGCATAGAAGATTGATCTAAATTAGGCAGCAAATAAAAAAAAAAAAAAAACATGTAGTAGACCAGGTTTTTTAAAAAGGTAAAAATACATGTATGAATATACTAGTTCTATAACGTTGGGTGTTTGAAAAGACATGCAGCTGTTGGCAGTCAATGGCTAGTGAGATTTTTTTGCAGTCTGGCTGTTTCATGTGCTAGCTCAGCCTTGCAAATACTCTAGGGAAATCGTTTACAACCACCAGCATTCCACTCACAGAAGCCCCCTGCTTTCCTAAACTGGAGCACAGATCTGGCGTCTCTTCATTTTCCCTAGCAGTTGGGCAGGAGCTAGGGAGAGAGAGAGTCTTTACCCATTCTTTTGACATGGAGCAGGAAAGAAGCCAAAGATGCAAGGGACGTGAGCAAAGCAGGCTGGTGGCAATGATGCTGTTGTTGTTGTTGAGTGCCGCTGAATCGATTCTTACTCCTACAACCCCATGTGGCAGAGTAGAACTGCCCGTTAGGGTTTTCTAGGCGGTAATCTTTATGGAAGCCGATCTCCAGGTCTTCCTCCCACCGAGCCTCTGCGTGAACCACCTCCCTTTCGGCTGGCAGCCGAGCACTTAACCATTGTACCACCAAGGTATTCATGTTTAAATTGTCAAGTTAAAAGTAAAAAGCAACAACATCCAGTGTTGGCAAGATTGAGAAAAGATGAGCACATTCATGCATTTTTCAGGAACAAACTTTCTGGAGGGCAGGTTGGTACATGTTCTGATCCATCTGCCAAGTAATTCCACTTCTGGGAATTTATCAGAAAGAAAAAAATCAGAGATATATTCAAAGATAGGTACAAGGATGTTCATGGTAGCATTTTTATAATAGTGATAAATTATAAGCAACCTAAATATGAGGTATATCTGTAAATTTTAGGATAAAAACAAACACAGACCAAACCCATTGCTTTCAAGGCAATTCTGACTCATGGCAACCCCATCTGTTACACAGTAGAACCGAGCTCCATAGGGTTTTCTTGTAATCTTTACAAGAAGCAGATTGCCAGGCCTTTCTTACACAGTGCTGCCGGGTGGGTTCAGGCTGTCAACCTTTAGTCTAGTAGTTGAGCGCAAACCATTTGTGCCACCCAGAGACCTTGATAAATTTGGACCAAAAAAAAAAACACCAAACCTGTTGCTGTCAAGTTGATTCCAACTCCTGGTGACCCTAAATTCGGCTGCTACCTATTAAAAACTTTGTTTGGGAAACATATTTAATGACATGTAGAAATGTTCCTGATACAGTGTGAAGTGAGGGCATAAAGCAAATTACACAACAGACAGTTTCACAAACACAACAGGATGTTGTGTGCAGTCCCAATGTTATTAATATTTGAATACATTTTTTTAAAATTAGCGTAAAAGCCAAAAGGTGAACAGTAGTTGCGTCTGGGTGGTAAGAAAACATGATTCTTTCCACTTCTCATTTTGCAGGTGAACATGTTATGTTTAAAACCAGAAGAAGGTGGGAGATGTTGTTTGTTTCTTTGTTTTGTTTTAAGAAAGAAAGAGGCAGTGGGACAGATTCTGGGATGGATTCTGCTGGGTGCCCTCACCTTGCCTCAGGGGTTTTCCTTCCCCCTCCTTCTCGGGGGTCCCCTCTGCCCCAGCTCTGTCCCTGCCAGCGCAGCACCACCTGAACCCTGCTACACGGGTCCCTTCCCCAAGCCCCTCAGTAGTCCTCAGCCTCCCCTTGTAGTGAATGTGAGGGGATTCGAGGCTGATCAAGAAGAGAGAGATGACCCCACATGCTGTTAATTGGGGCGACGCGCTGACAGCCACGTGCGGGGGTGGTCCCCCACAGCAGGAGGTCTTCTGGATGCAAGTGTAGTACAGTCGCAGGGAGCCATCAGAACAGGAAGGAAAAAAACCAAAAAAAAACCAAACCCATTGCCATTGAGTCGATTCCGACTCGTGGTGACCCTATAGGACAGAGCAGAACTGCCCCATAGGGTTTCCAAGGAGCAGCTGGCGGATTCGAACTGCCGACCTTTTGTTTAGCAGCCGAGCTCTTAACCACTGTGTCACCAGGGCTCCAGAACAGGAAGAGGGGATGAAAAACCCAGGGAAGAGGAGAAGAGTGGCGGGGGCGGTGGCTTACATACATCTGGGGGACATCCTCGTGCAGCAAGCTGGGGAGTCCCTGGGTCAGAGGACCCTGAAGGCAGTAACCTAGAGCCGTTGAATTGATTCTGACTCATGACAACCCATATGTTACAGAGTAGAACTCAGCTCCAAACTTTCCTCAGCTGTAATCTTTAAGGGAGGAGCCTCGTGGTGCAGTGGTTAAGCACTCGCCTGCTAACTGAAAGGTCGGCGGTTCGAACCCACCAGGAGGAAGATGTGACACTCTGCTTCCATAAAGATCACAACCTTGGAACACTGTGGGGCAGTTCTTCTCTGTCCTGTACGGTTGCTATGA